TGATCTTTTGGTTTTCGCTTACAAATTAATGGTTTGATTGCATACATACATATACCATACTAAGAAATCACAGGTACTAAGAAAGCAATATTCTATGACTTCATAGGAAAACATTGTTGTTAGTTACAGACATTTTTGTTGATTCAATGGAATTTAACAGGTTCCAGAAACGCTTTCTGATGAGATTCTTGGAAAGCTGAGTGCACCACCGAAGAGCGATGTGCCAATCATATCCCCCAATGACCTTACTGAAGCTGATGGGTTCGTATTCGGGTTCCCAACTCGGTTTGGGATGATGTCTGCTCAGTTCAAAGCATTTCTCGATGCGACCGGAGGGCTATGGAGAACCCAGGCACTAGCAGGCAAGCCCGCAGGCCTGTTCTACAGCACTGGATCCCAGGGAGGCGGCCAAGAGACAACCGCGTTAGTATCTTCCCTTCTATATCTCCAACTCATGACCTTTGGCATGGCTCTGATACCAAATTGAAACATGTGCTCCATCTCAACTAAAAGCCTAAACTGATAGTTGGATTGCACATTTATGTTTATATATATTATATGCTCAAAGCAAATGGACTTAACCCGAGTTTGATAACTGTGCAGGTTGACAGCAATCACTCAGCTGGTCCACCACGGGATGATCTTTGTGCCCATCGGCTACTCCTTTGGAGCTGGCATGTTTGAAATGGAGAAGGTTAAGGGAGGAAGCCCTTATGGCGCTGGAACATACGCTGGAGATGGGTCCCGACAACCATCCCAGCTCGAGCTGGAACAAGCGTTCCACCAGGGGAAATACATTGCCGCCATTACAAAGAAGCTTAAATCTGGATCTGCCTGATTAATCTCCTTCAATTCTATATACACTTTGCACTGTTCAGAAATTGGAGTCATGCATACCCCTTTCTTTCATAGACATCTTCATTTGAAATAAACTAGTGTAGTGCCTTTGCCATATTATTACAGAATACTTCTGTTTTCCTTTGTTGTTGTTGGTTTTTTTTCATAATGCAATACAGAATATAATTGATATTTATGAGTTCAGTATAATCTGTCTTTGGAAACCTCAATTTTCTCCTTAAGCATTCTTAATCTTGAATCATCAATTTTCTCATGTTGTTGTTGATCTCTTGAGCTTCTCCATTAGTGGTATCAACAAGTTATACAAACATAAGAGTTAACCATCTCAGGGCATAGCTCAGTTATTGAAAGGTCGAGTGTGACCGTGTGGGTGTAATGATCTAACCTAGCAAATACCGAAGTTTGAATCTTCTCAATGGAGGAGGATCTCAGCCTTGGGACAAAAAGAAAGCATCGATTTCCAGGACAGGTGGGTGAAGGGCCTTCAAATTAAGTTTAAAAGCATCAATTTCCAGGACAGGTGGGTGAAGGGTCTTCAGATTTAAGGTTAAACCCATAAGAGTTAACCACAAATTGTCTTAGTAGATGGATGATAAAAGCTGAATATAGATTGTTAATAATATTAAAATAAAAAAAAATAAAAAAATAAAAAAACTAACAAACAAACAAGCAAAATAGAATCTTAGGAGTAAAGTTGGTTTCATTTGTGCATGTCGTTTTCCAACTTGAATTTAAGGTCTTATACAACATAGTTTATATAGTAGTTTTAAGAGGGGTTTCAGGTTTGGGTAGGTATAAAAAGGTTTTTTATTTTTTTTTTTTTTTATTTTTTTTTAATTATTTGTTTAAATAATAACATCTTATATCTCCACCAATGTGAGACAGTTAATCTGAATTCAACCAAGAGTTTAACTTTTACTTAGAGGGAAGTCCGTCTCATAGTTGAATATTGCATTTGCATTAACAGTCTACTTACCAACTACTCTAAGACCTGATTAATTGGGTGTACGTACTTAGTTTACTTTAGTGATAAATGACACTTCTTTTTATATGTTAAACTCAATTATGTCTTAATTTTGTCCCATTAGTCAGTAGTCTATTGAGTGACATTCTTCGCTATGCCACTTAATCAAGAGGTCTGCCATTTAATCACGAGGTCACAAACATATATTTATTTTTGTCTAATACATTGAATTATATGCTCAATGTTAATTCGTTTAAGAAAAAAAAAATAAAAAATTTGCAGTGTGTATCACACTCGTATAAGAATCGAGAAATGAGTCATGTTACAAGACTTGCATAGTGCAGAGATTTGGACACGCACAACTTACTATACCATCTATCCCAATATAATGTGAATCTAATACTATAAAGTAACTGATTTTGTGGTCCATTGCCACAAAGTTAAATGAGAAAGGGGTTGTACTGGACACACTGCACATGCATTTCCATGGACAATCAGCTTAGAAGAGAGTAACTCAGAATATTTCCAAAGATGATAGTGGTCCATGTAATCTTCTTAATTAAGGAAGAAATTGAAAATGATATGGCATTTCTATCTCATCCCATCTCTCTCCTTTTTTTTTTTTTTTTTTTTTTTTTTTTTTTTTTTTTTTCTTTCAAAAAATCTTATTCTCTATTAACTCCATTCATCTTTATCATCAATTTTACTGTAATCTCGTAACATTTTACGTGTTTAAAAAAAAAAAAAAAAACCTTTGTCTTTGTCTCCGACCGGAGATGAACAAACTTCTTCGCCTATGGGCCGGAGACAAAGACAATCTCTTCCTCTCTAGTCAGAGAAGAATGCGAGACTTTTTTTTTTTTTTTTAAGAATATTAAAATAAATTAAAAATAATAAATTTGTAATAGGTAATTGCCACGCCAAGTCAAGATCGATAGAACATGTCAATTTTGATTTAATTACGTAATAATAGATTGTTCAAAGACTCAATTGCAGTTTTTTTTGAGTTTGATGACTCAATTGTATTTCCACTGGTAATTCGGTGGGCCTAGTTGAGCATTATTATTTTCTTCTTTTTTTCTTTGTCTTCTAAGGAGTACTAAATTAGTAAGATAGGAAAGGTTTATAATGTTGTACCCTAGGTTATGATACCATGTGTTTATAATGTTGTATCCTATACGGACTTATCTGTCTCATTTTATCTGTCCTACTCACTATTTATTGGTCAAATCAACTCTTTCTTTTTTTTTTTTTTCTTTAGTATTTTTTTACTTATTTTTAAATTTAATATTTTGTGTTCAATAGTACTTTTAGTGTAGTAGTTTCTAAATATATAAATTTTGTATACTAATACTAAACATAATATTGTGAAAAATTGAATTAAAAATAAGTCCAGTCAAGTTTCATTAACTGAATCAGACACATAAAATGGAACGGAGAGAGTATTATAATGTTTTACCATAGGTATATAAAGAGAAGAGTAAACGTTACAAAACATGCATCATACATCTAAAAAAAAAAAAAAAGAACACAAAGTTTGATCATTATATTTACAATATTGTAATCCACAACATTGTAGAACTTTTTGATAAGATATAGTATATAAAATGTTAGGTATATATATATATATATATATATATATATATATATATATATATATATATATATATATATATATATATATATATGTGTGTGTGTGTGTGTGTGTGTGTGTGTGTGTGTGTGTAATATGACATGTATACATGCGTAGACTATTTTGATACTTTGAATCTTTGGATGATTGAAGTATTTGAATATTTCATATTTGAGTATTTTTGTTTTTTAATATTGTTTTGATGTTATGACTTATGAATTATCATTATTTCATTTATTTGGATGTGATATTTGATTGAATGTTGAAAACACTCAAAACAGCCTCATTAAAATTGTCAAACTGCAAGTCTGCCACTGTTTTTTTGGCGCCCGCCTAGTGCCGCCTAGATTCCGCCTAGGTGCTAGGCGCTGTCCGGACGCCCGACTTGCGCCTAGCGCCTACTGCAACCATGATATATATATATATATATATATATATATATATATACTTACTTTTGATGCATAGGATAGATGTGAGATTCAAGGGGTGAATAAAGTGAAATGACTTTTTAATTGAGTAGAAAGTGTTAAAACTTGTGGTTGAAGACAAACACTATAGAGAAGTTGCAATGATTAGCCAAGACCAGCAAAGCAGCAATAACACCACCACCCTACAAAGTAATAACAACACTGCACTGCACCTGCTCTCAATGCCCTTCAGTTTTCTATTGTTTTTTTTTTTTCTGTATTTTTTTTTATCAACATTACAATGATGCTCTGATCTCCCACTCCTTTGCTTTATCCCACCCTCAAAAAGCAAAGTTTCTTACCTCTAGAGCTCTCATATCCTGACCGGATTAAATTGTGGAGAGACAAATTATGGTAACTCAGCAGCTTTTAGGTAGGAAGATCAGAGTCAGCCACAAAGACTCAATTCTAAACTTTCACCCTTGATCTACTGAGTAACGACTGAACTGCTCGTACGAGTTCCCACCCCATTGCTTTTCCTATGCTACATTCATTCCACCTTTCATTCTTTCATTTTTTAATATTAATTTTCTCTTCCAAACAATAATAATACTCCGTAACAGTTAATATTTTGAGAGGAAATGGAACTGATACTGATGCTCAAAGGTTTGGTATTTAGATACATCAACCCATCATTTCAACAGTCATTGGGATGGGAGGTTATATGTGAATTGAAGCTAATGACAAGAGATTCTTAAAATTTCCACTGTCAAAAGTGTGTTTTCCTATGATTAGTTGCTTGTCATAGGATTCTTGGAATTTAAGCATTTTCATTTTTAATCTCAGTTCTCTCTTTTCTTCTTTGGCTACAAACATAGCTAGGATGGATGGGCTACAATTGTAGAATCTTTTTTTTTTTTTTTTTTCTTAAACCCATCACTTTCACTATTTAGAACCCATCGAAAATCTCCTATCATCAATAAAATGTGAAATAACTTATGTCCTCGCTATTTCGGTATCAAATAATCACGTCATCAGCTCAATTTTCAACTGATTCAAAGTTAAACAACTATAGAATCCAATGCGAAAAAGCTAGATGTTAATCAATTCACGTGACACACACTCACTTTATATCCGCTTTTTTTTGTTTCTTGTCTTTTCAACAGCTAAACAAAGAAGTGGTTGCAACAATGGAACCCTACAAATGAATATAGAAAAAGGGAATTGAACAAAAGTTGCTTTGTAATAAGTAATCTGATCTGCTAACTTTGAGCTCAACCAACAACAACACAACACATACATGCACTACATACAATAATAACATTGGTTAATTAATATAATTAAGTTATTATATTAATAACCTAGCTAAACCCTCATAATCATCATCAACTAAATTTGCACCTGTTCCTAACCTCCATATTATTCTTAATTATTCATTATTATTACAACGTTATCCTTTAATTCAACCTTAATCATCATTTGGTTTGTGAAAACATAATGCCCTTCTGCCTCTTCATGGCCCAGCATTGCTATCCTGTCTTCCCTTTTTTTCCTTAAGAAACCCAAAGGTCTAAAGAAATCACCAAAACTCACTTCTTTTAACTTCTCCGAACAATAATTCAATCTCTTCCCTATACAGTAGTTTCTACCTGAAATTTGCCCCAAACGTTGGTGTCCAGAAATCAGTTGTTGTCTCAGCAGCCACAGGGAATGTGCTTGACATTGGCACTAGACATAGCCCTTGGCTCCTTAAATCTTGTTTTGACAACCCTTCTTCATCCAAAACCTCCTCAGTATTCTGCAACGTAACACGATTAACGTTGTCAGGATCAAACCCTTACTACTACGCTAAAAGTTATATAATTAGTAACGAAAGCGCAACTTTATTTTCTTATACTTGCGTAACATACAGTCAACTAGATGTGAAGACTGAACTTGGCCCTTCAGCCTCCTCCGAACAAACATAACATTAACTCGATTTACTCAAATAAAATCAAGCACTAGTACAGAATGAGTCATCTGGCGTTTGAAGTAAAGGATGGTAAGTACGATACCTGTTGAGAGTGCTGATCGGATGGCGACCCGTTTTTCATATAGGGAGTAATCAAAACCTAGAATCACATAACAACATTTATATATGCATTCAGGGTTTCCAAGAAAATAATAGTGAAGATGATGAACAATAATAAGGATATGAATGTACATTGACTTGATCATGGAGGAACTTGATGTACTCAATAGCTTCATGGAGAACTGAGGCAGTATCAGTCTGCAGTAACATTAAAAACATAGTATAAATTATACATAAACCAGATCAGCTAAATCAAAGGATGTAATTAATAGTACCATGTAGTAATAAGGTACTTTTTGTTTTGTCATAAAAAGTTAAGATCAGATCGGTTAAAATAAAAAATAAAAAATAAAATCTGAATGTCATATTACCTTTCCAAAAGGTGACACCAATTGTTGGAGGGCAGTTATTCGGTCCCCCAGCTTCTCTTTGCGGACCTGAACCATAACCATGATAACGAATCTTACACAAAGATTTAATCTTTTCTTTTTAAGGTTTCTTTAATTTGTCCCAAAAATGATAATAAATTAAACTATGATCATCAAATTAAAGTAAATTATTATTGTACATACCTTAAAAGTTGGCAATGGCGATGGCGTTTCTATTCTTGGACGCTTGAAATCTGGTTTGGTTTTGTTAGCTACACAGCTTGAATCCCGAAGCTCCTTATTATTACTACCATTCAACTGCAATAATCTCCAAAGATCAGTTCTCGTTAATCGAACCAGACATCTGAAAAGATTATAGTACAGTATAGTATTTGAGTTTAGGATTCTTTTACCTTTGCAGTTATGGCAGGTTTCTTGTCAGTAAATGTCGGAGATGGGAAAGAACAAGAGGTGAGCGATGAATCCCATAAAGATATGGAACTGGGGAACTGTAAGTGGTGGTTAGTTGGGCTGAGGAGGGAGGAGAATTTAGGGGGGGAAGGTGAAAAGTCACTCAAGTTTGGTCCATAATTCGTCATCGCCGCCGTAGTCGCCGGTGCGTAGCTGATTACTGGCTGGCTACTTATCAAACACTGCTGATGAGGTTGATGAGGATCTGCGTCGAACATAGATTTCAGCAAATTCGGAGGATAATTGTTGTACGAGGTAATGGGGAAACTAGTGGATAATTCTTGACTGGAGCTTGGGATTACTGTCAAAGTCTCCTGCACCCCGTAATTCAAGTCTTCTTGTAGCATAGAACCATAACTCCGGTCACCCCTTTCGTTATCTTGCCTGCAAATTCAAGAAAATCAAACATCTTTCGTTAACCTTAATCATGGAACCCTAATACAGATGATGTTCTTGAATCATCTGAGGATGACGAGAAAAATCAGCAGCCACTACTCGAGACTCTGCTGGGTAAATCTTAACTTATAAGTTGTAAACTTATGTGATAAAAGACCTAATTTAATTTAATCAGATCGCTGATGGGCTCAAACTAAGAAGGTTAATCGAACAGGGAGTCGAATGATTACATTAAAACTTGGTTCCAGTCGTCTGTGGCGGCGGCGGTGGCGGTGGGAGAGTGGTCAGTACTCGGCGGCCGGCCATTGACCTCCGCCGTGACTTCCCCGTCGTGATGACTCGGCGGCCATGCAACAAAGCTCCCGATATCGTTCATCGACGCGGAGCACAGATACGATCCGAACATGTTCCTCGTCGGGTTCCACCACCCTCCTCCGCATACGGCGGCCGTCGAGAACTCATCCGCCATGAAACTATATATGTATGTAAATCTCTTTTCTTCTTCCTCTTTTGTCCGATCTATCCCGCTGAAACTCTGAGTGTTACACGAAAGTGGATTCTGAATTCAAAGCTATGGCGAGGTATTTATATGTGTAGAGAGATTGAAAGTAAGGAGAAAAGAAATGAAAATGGATTGCGGTGGTTGAGAGTGAAGCTACCGGAATATGGTTGACATTGTAAAAGAGAAGATGATTAGACAAGCCAAAGAGGAAGGGTACATATTTAATTATGAAAGTGGACGAATATCTGGACTCGAATTTTGGATCAAATTCGATTTATTATATTTTATTTTATTTTATTTAAACAAAAATTATATATTTCTTTCTTCTTTTGATTTGTTTAATTCATGAGAACATTCCATTGTTTTTTCTTAGGGAAAAAGGGATGTGGGAATGATAGGCTAATTTTATGAGTGGATAAACATTGTTGTAATATTTTACCATATATTCTTCCTTTTCCTTTTGAAAAAAAAAAAGTTGGGGTCGTCGGGTCCACTTGTTAGTAGTGTTGCAAAAATCCTGTCTAAACATCGATTAACAGGCGCCTAGGGGTTAGGCGCTGGCCGGCCGTCTAGCGTATTACCATAACCGGTGGTCTAGGCGGCTGGCCGGCTAGGCGATCGACTAGGCCGCCTAGTCGGCTGATTAGCTAGTGTTCCTTTATTTTTTTTTTTTTAAATGTGTTATTTCACTCAAAACGACACCATTTTGAACGAAATAACCCTAAATTGTTAAAACTCTACGTGTTTTTTAGGTAAATATTTAATATTTTAGTATTAACTATTATGGGGTGTTTGGTTGGGAAGAAGGAATTAGGAAGGAAATGAATTGCAATTCGGTGGGAAAATGAATAAGGTAGTAATAATGTAGGAATTAAAATTACATTGTTTGGTTGGGAGGAATAAAATTATTAAAAAAATAATTTATAATTATCAAATATTCAAAAATTAAAAGATTTTTAACAAATTTTTAAAAAATAAAAAATATACGGACGCCTAGGTGCCGATTAATCGTCGCCTATGCGTTAGACACCCCCGAGGAACGCCTAGTGATTTTTTCAATCATGTTTAATTGGTGGTCAGTAATAGCGATGAGCATTTTTTTTTTAATATACTTAACTGATTGGAAACTCAGCAACCTCAAAACATAAATTTATGATCACTGTTTTATGATCGAAAATTTATGATTTTTCAACGACACTTTACACTCAGCATCTTGTTTTAGTTCTATAGTAAGAGAACAACGCCAAGATTTGCATAAAAACTCAATATATAGAGAAGAAAATTAAATCTATGAAACTTATTGAGAAGAGATATCTTAAGCATGGGTCTGGATTTGTTTGTCTCTTGATGTGAACATTTGAGGTAAAATCGATATTGGAATATATATATATATATATATATATATATATATATATATATATATATATATATATATATATATATATATAGCATTTTTCTTATTTATATAATTATTATAAAAATAAATAATTGAATTTACGGGTTAATTATAGGCAGAGTATGGTTTTTTTGTTTGAGCCAGTCACTTACATGGACCGGTGTATTTCAATTCATTGTGATCATTTATCTGCAAAGGTTACAAAACGAGTTTCTAAAGCACAATTTTAATAGCAACTATAAGCTTTCCTGTAAATCATAATTGATCAAACAATTGATTTGGTAATCATAATAATTTCTCGTGAAAACGATCTATTGTCATTTTTTATTTAACTTTTACCGACTAAAATTACAAAACAGACTTAACCCAAAACATATTTTTAATTAGTGCTTGAAGACTTTCTCGTAAATCAAAATATAGGTACAATATAAATATCAGCCTCATGTAAAGTATATATATATATATATATATATATATATATATATATATATATCGCGTATGGTAGTACCAAAGTTTGATTTGGCAGCCACGTCACTGTTTGGGGAGAATAATGTTTGCTTTAGTCTTGTTAAATTCTACGGCTGACATTGTTTATACGGACGAACCGGAATTTCAGGACCATTGCATATTTGATATATCTCACTTTCATGCTTCACCTTGATTGTCAAGAGATATATAGTATATATTTTATTTTATTTCTTCTACTTTTAATTTATTATTATTTTTTATTATCCTCTATTATATTATTGGATAATAATTCAACTAATTAGCAAGTTTAAATTATAGTGGTTACAACTCAAATTAGGATCGTTGATCGTCTTAATAGTTTATATGATCAGTATGATTGTAGGTTGTACGTTTTTGTTGATTCGCCTAACAAGCTTGGATCACACCGCACAACACCTAGTAGTGCATTTTCGAACATTTTGTGGTGTATTTATGTATACCTAATGGTGAGTGACCGCACTGAAAATACTGTCCGCAAGGAAACCTCACCCTATATATACAAAATTTTGACTACTTCGATCTGTGTCCAGAATTAGCGAAGATTTTAAAGTGATCGGAACACTAGTTTCGTACTAAAAGCACTGGATTTCTTACCACATTTGAGACGTGTACACTATAAAATCTCATATATAAATTTATATGCTAACTTGACCACATAAATATGATCGACAAAATTATTCGTAGCACTCGTTATCATTGTAGCTTCAATAAAACAAAACCATTATTATTAATTTTGTCTTTAATAAAAAAAATAAAATTCATGATTATTTCATGTTAAGTAGTTACCAGCATCATATGATTCATATCAATACGAGGTTCTCATAGTCCGTTGCTTTACAAAGATGAAAAAATGATCATCAACGGTTATGAAAATCTAAAAAGCTTTTTAAAATATAATGATCAATAATTAGGGAATACATTGATTGCTAAGATCTGTACCATACGAATCCCTCCTTCATAACGTATAATATAATATTCGTTGGGTCTGGATAATTTTCTGTGAAACCATCTCACGGATAATTTTCTGTGAGACCAGGTCGGGTGAGATCAGGTCAATATGCAAATGTAATACTTATACTAACAAATGTAATATTAAATTATGAATAAAATTTTTGTTACTTATAAAAGAAAATATAATACTTTTGAAGACAAATGTAATACTTTTATATTTTGATGTAAAAGTATTACTTTTCTCATCAAAAATATTATATTTTTGCACTTATAAATGAAAATGTAATACTTTTACATCAAAATGTAAAAGTATTACATTTCATCTTGACCCGACCCGTCTCACGAATCTCACATAAGTTTGTGTCATATCCTTTTGGCTTTAATTTTTTGGTTGCAATTATATATATAAAGTTATGTGTATATATTAAATCTTATAACATGCATCTAAGGTAAGTTTTGAAAAATGTCATTATTCTTTATAATGAAGCACTATATATAATTACTAGACCTTATTATGAGTTAATTAAATTAAAAAAAAAAAATAAATGGATTGAGGATTATGATTCATAGATGAGTTGAACAATATGCATGTATCCCAATCAATTGGTATCAGTGCCGAATTGTATATAACGTACAACTATATATACTTTTTTGAGTTGCAGTAAGTATTGTCATCACTTTTTTTTAATAATATATAGGCCATGTTTAGTAAAATAGTTAGTCTGTAGGTCAATTTTAGTTTATTTGACCACTATTAGGTGTTTGATTTGGTTAAAAAACAATATAAGGACTTGGTTAATTAGCTTTTTGTAACTCTAAAATGCTAAAATTCAAAAAACTACTCAAAGCAACTTTTTCAATTATCTTTTTAAGAAAAGAAATTATATCAAACAATCATCAACTATTAACTAATTTACTAAACAACTTTCTATAATCAGCTAATGTTATCAAATAGTTATACTCTTTGATTAACCCAATCAGCTAACAGCTAACAACCATTATCAAATACGACGATAGTACAGTTAGACATCACATGAATAGTTCTACATGGTACAAAAAATATCGATGTAGATCGACAATTAATAAATTCTCTTTATTCAAAATATTGGGTGCAAGTGATATTATTTTGGTATTTTTACGAACATTATTGTTCTTTGTATAACTCGAGACTAATTTTCATCAAATTTTATGTTTCTTTTTGGATTTGATGAAAGTGGAGAAAAGTTTGAACCTAAGTGCAAGTTACCACTACATTACACTATGAAATCCATCAAAGTTAATGTTATGCCATTATTGCAACAAGAATTTCTTTATCTTATGGGACATGTAAGTCAAAATAGAATATACGGTTGACTTGTAGGGCAGTGCAGGTAACAAAACGCGTCATTAACATTCCCAATAATTAACAAAGTTTTTTTGTCTTTTAATGATATGTACCAAGAAATTAAAAAACATGTCTTTCTAACGACTCTTAATTTCAAGTCCTTAATTCGTCAACTTAAAGTCAAATCACGTAGCCAATTCAATTTAATTTGTCATTTTTGTGAGGACAAATATACCCTTCCTTCCAAACTCACTCCTTCAAGTTTGCATTACTGAGAGTATGAATTTTGTACCTGGAATAATAGTAACTCAGTAATTGTGTCTTATGTTATGAATTTTTGTATCTTATGTTGTGAAATTCTGTGCTTATAAACACAAATTATGTACCTAGATTAGTACATCCCGACCCCAACAATCCTTAGCTCAAATCAACGACTGAATAACCATAATCGTCAATAAACTCAATGTTTATTTTTTCAACCCTAACCCACTAATTCTATGGCGCTTTCATATCAACTGATCAATTTTGTGCTAGATTGACATCTTTAATTCGTGGTCTGAGATTTGAGTTTCAACAACCACACAATCATAGTCTACCCCTGACGACAATCCATCCAATCAGTCAAGTCATATTTTAACGTCGTCATTTACCAACAGGACCACCTGCACAACACCAATACGTACAATTTTCAATACAAAGCACCACATACATATAGATCCAATCACGAAGTCAAACCGAGAGCCTATTGCAACAATGGTGAGTTTGAACACATTACTTATTAAGTGGTTGGCACTTAAATAATGTCAATTGCGTTACACATACAAATTAAAGGTAATGAAGATGGTGCCAAAATGATGAAAATTAACGGTGTGGGGTTGAGGGGGCGACGGGTCCACACGGCAAGCAGCGTGCCCCCTATGCGACGCATGAGGCCTCCACATCGTCGGAACCAGTCAAACTGCTAATTCTGACAACATTCGACCTTATTTCCAACCAGACACAACACTTGATCCACAGGAAGAAGATCCAACCAAAAATTAAAAATGGGAATTCGGATCATATCCTTTTGGGTTAGTTAATCAGAGTATGCATGTACATTATATTGCAGGTGGTCCTGATGGATGAAAGGACTGTAGCTAAAGTAGGCCAAAGCTAGTGACATTTTTACCTCTTCTTCTTGGTTTCTTGTGCACTCTGGATTCTTCCCCTAACTTCTCTCCCTAGCTATGAATTTAACAAAATCACCAATACCCTCTGGCCTAATCGATGATAAGTCTCACTTAATACTTACTTTTAGCGAGAAAGTGAGTGGGTTCGATCCCTACTACGAACATTGAAAGTTTGAGAATATACATTTTGTGTTTAGTATCAAGGTTAGTTTGGCTCAATTTAATTACCTCCTCATAAACTTGGGACAGGTTTATGGGGTCTGAGAATATAATATGACAAAACTGATAAATTAGGGTTATCAAAAATAAAAAGAAAAAGGTGTCTAATGTTTCATCTTTGAATGCACATTCATCCTTCAATCAATTTAGGGGTATATTTTCAAACATGTTTACTTGAATTTGCATATATAAATATTTGAAAAATTCTTCTAATTTTTCCCTCTTAAGTTCCCTCTATGACATGGTTTAATTAAAGGGGTTAATATAAATCTTGTAATAATTAGCAATTTACTATATTATCTATTGTGCATGGTAAAATTTGTCAGCTTCTGGCTTGACCTGTGACATAACCAAATTGCTAGCTTGCTAGCTTCTTCAAGAAAGTGGTTAATGATATTCAAGAAAAAGGAACACAATAATTGTTATAGAGAAAAGAAGAGCGATGTGCATGTAATTACCAGATCATCACAACATAAAAAAAAAAAAACATCATTATATTAACTCCCACGCTTGTCTCGACTCTCCAACTTGTACCTATGAAAACACACATGATATGATTCATCTCACATAATCACTATATTATTTTTTTTCTTTACTTTTTTTTACAAGAGAAACTTGTAATTACTATTTGAGGGTGTGCATTGAGTAAATTTCGTTCTTATGTAAAAGCCTGCAAATTCAACCTCACTGGAGAGATAAACTACACTAAAAGACTCAGACTCAATGTGACAAGTATGTGCAACGGGTTTAACCAATAAGGTGTTGACAAGAATCAAATCCATAATATTTTTATACCTGCTGAATTATGACTCACTCACTCAGCTACTCCTTTTAGTGCTATACTATTTTGTTTCTTGCTTGCTAATTAATCTCTCATCATGCAATGGTCCAAAAATTATGTTTGTTAATATATTATGTGTCTTCAATTAATGAATTATGTGATAATAAATAAATTGAATGCACCAAGCACCTACATATTATGTGTCATCAATTTATTTAAAAACACATAATCTATTAAATGTAGGCACAGAATATGTTAACTGCGAACATGAAATATGAATGTCAGTTTTAAATCAGGATGAACACTTGTCAATGGTACAATTTGCCTAATTTCGTAGGGTAGTCGAAGAAAATTGTTTTCTTTTTCTCTTTGGTCCTTGAAGTATTTTGATGTTTTCAAATTTTGCCTTTAAATTTGTTAAATACTGTATTGTGGGATGATGTTATGCTGAGGGCAGGCTGAGGTCAGGTATATAACAGTATATACGGAAATTTTGACTGAGGAAGGGATTTTTTACAGAGACAAAGCAGATGGGTCGTTAAAAGCAGTATGGGATCACGTGGCGGCCAGGTGGAGAAAAGACACGTGGGGAATGCCTTCACTCAATTATGCCTCTTTAATTGTACTGTTCTACCAACAACCAAACAGTACCTCACTACGAACAATTTTTTTATAACACGTATTTTTCGACTTCGACAAATCATAGAAGTTATGAATTCGTCTTAAAAGACTTATGAAAGAGATAAATTTTAAATTGTCCAAATAATTCAAGGTTCCTCTTTTTGCCTGTATACTTCTGCCCACTACAAACATTTTATAATATCGTGTGTTCAATAAAGTTATATTTTGTGTTTAATGTTTAAATTTTTAGCATAAAATGACAGATAAGTGGTTATTTTGTAGTACAAATATATGTGGAGTTCGCTTTCAGTTTGGGTCGGGTCAAAGTGAATTCGCACTCTTCGTAGTGAGACGAAGAAATTGATATATTATACGCTCAAAATAGATAATGGATGAATGAAAAATTGATTCTCAAAGTACTCATTTGAGTTAGAAAATGAAGGTGAAAAGGCTTTGTTAAAGCACTTATCCCACATTGGTTTGGGAAGTGGATTTGCACCCGTATATATACAAGATCCTTTTAAAAATATGTTGATTTGCATAGCATAGAGGCTCTCCCTTGTGCACATGATATGTCTTCATTAATTTTTTCCATCTCAGAGCCATTGTCCTTGTCCTTGTACGAGTAGTTACCATTCAGATGTGATCGAGCAGTTGGCTACTTGTACGTAACCTTTACTACTATTTGTGGGTACTGCTCGAACTACATACTCTTCTGAGTACCGTTCTGGAAGATTTAATTAATTGTGGATTAATTCCAATTTTTAATTTTAGAACTAAATTCTATATATATGTTAATGGATTGAAGGTTACTGGTTTTAAACCAATGTTAATGCCATGGTTTAATGCTATTTATTTCTCCATCTCCTATAAAAGCCTTGTTGTTGGCAGATTGTTTTTGTTGCTTTGAAAACTTCAAAATTATTGTTTTGTTTTCTCTCCATCTCTCTCAACTCTTTTTCTTAGAAAAATTTTGCCAACATTTTGTAAAAAGGAACGAAGTGCTCGCCTGTTGTTCTAGTTCGCTGGGCTTTTTGTTTGAGTGCTCAAACTTAAAGTCGTGATCCATTTTATCTTGGGAGACTGATGCTACAACACTCATAGCACCATCTGGAGGTAGCGAATCGATTTTAAGAAAAGTGTGTGTTATACACGACTTTGGTCTTTGCTTATTCTTTCTTCCCGTTGGGTTTATATTTGAAATTATAAAACCCTTATTTTTCGTATTTATTTATTTTATATATATAAATAAATTTTAGTTTTTTTACCAAGCTTTGGTTAGAATTAATTTTATGAAAAATTAAATACCATTTATATATTTTGATGAATTGAGTTATTCACCACCAAATAT